TACAGACTCACAACAAAAGAACGTCTAGTTTTCTTGTCCCAGTGCCCGAGACAGGTATCTTGAAGTCCCGCACAAAATAATAAATTAGGGATAGATGGCTTACGCTCAAATGGCATTTGGCGATCGCGTGAACAACGAGCAAATATATAAAATTGTTAATTGTTATGTTCCTGGCGAAGACGGGCAGCTTTCGAACAGTACAACAGCCATACTAATAAACATTAATCAATAATAATAATAATAATAATAATAATAATAACAAATAATATTGTCATACGATACGGCATATTGGTAAACAGAAATTGTTTCTTAATTTCTAAAGGCTCAAGGTGCTTAGACGATGTTTGATGAAGCCGAATATTATGTTCGATAAACTCGGAGGTGACAGCATGACGGAAGTAGAGTATTGATATCTAATATCTATGTATAATCAGTGTACGATGGCATAACTTTCTGTTTATGAAATGTATTTATATAGTTTATAAGCTAGCTGCCTCGACGGGCATTGCTTTTGCTAAATATTATTTTAATTCAATAAATTGAAAAAAATGCACGATAAGCTAAGGTTAACATCAGGGGTGTATACAAGGGGGAGGGGGTGATAGGGGCGATCGCCCCCCCCTGGACATTGCTGAATGTGTTTTATGTATAGGTGCTTACATATTTTATTATTATATTATATTAAAAAATTAAAAATACAGTGCATTTTTTTTCTTAATGGAAATGGAATAAATGGATAATGGTTATCAAAAACGTGTAATAAATAAAGAATGAAAATAAGATTGATTAAAATCAAAAGATTAGAGATATTGTGGCTATAATCACAGATATACCTATACAATAATTATTATTGTAGTAGTATCCGTGGCAGTATGTCTATAATAAATATTAATTGTGATCGTCTACAACTTACAAGATTATATTATTTTTTTTTTTAATGGTCCGCACTCTGCAACCTTATTAGACATATCTTTTTTTATAAGAACCTATGATTTGAGTTCAAATTTCGCCTCCCCCTGGAAGAAGAACTGAATACGCCCCTGAGTTAACTTATAATTAAATCCCATTGTTTTATCGTTATATTTTCCTTACGGTAAATTCGTTGTTATGCTTACCAAAATTATGATAAATCAGTTATTAAATACCATGTTTTCAGATGTTATGTACCTACGTGTTATTGAAAATTCCAAGAACAAGACATTTTAATTTTTTTTTTTTTTTTCAAGTACACACGTTCGCGTATCTATTTGTCCGTGGAAACATACCTAACGAAACATTTTTCTGAAATATTCTCTTAAACGAATTAAAAAAAAAGTTTTATCTAAAGTATTTTTGTAACGATTTTGGTACAAACATATTTTAATATTTGTTCAATGGAGACGATAGTCATTCTACTACAAAACAATGGTGTCGGATAGTGCAACAGGTTTATTTATCTGAAATTGTATTATAAATTTACAAGTTACCTACTAAATCAAGTCATAAATCCTAGGAATGGTTTATGTTTGTAATAATATGGTTTTGTGTGGTCGTTTAGGTCTCGTAGGTTCTAAAATATTGATTCAACCCACCGGTTGCTGGATGGTTGTAATTATGTGGGAACCTATAATTATCCGTGTGACTATACATTTTAAACAGCGATGTAAGCGTTTTTAAATATTTGTTATTACAATGATAAAAATAAGTAAAAATAGAGTGAAGCTGTTTATGCAGTTAAATATATTTGTTTCAATAACTCAAACATGAATCCGGTATGGTCTAGTGGCTAGGATACCTGGCTTTCACCCAGGAGGCTCGGGTTCGATTCCCGGTACCGGAATAAATTTTTGTTTTTTTTTTAAACATTTTATTTTAATATTTTACAAACAATAATATTCCACTTTCATAATTTTTTTTTTTTTTTTAATAAAGTATAGTTAATTGTGATGATTATAATATATTTCGTACATTAAGGTA